AAAGTGCAATACAAATCCTAAGAGAGATAAGGAGGAAAAAATCAGTCAAGAGACAAAAAGACTTATGGAGACACGAAGAGAACTTAAGAACAAAAACGATACGAATGCACGCCTACTACAATAACTTAATAAATATATTAATAAAGCAGTGAGAAAGGACGTACGACAATATAACACAAAAAGATTACAACGGTTGTCGAGAAAAATAAAAGTAAAGGTGCTGAAGAGATGTCAAGCTCTAGGTAAGAAGAATATTGTTAAGCTGGCAGATCGAAATGGAAAAGTGGTAACAGATAAAGATAAGATAAGATAGTTGAAGAATTTTACACAGAATTATATAGAGAAAGGGGTAAGAAAGACGGCACCAAGTTGAGAAAAGTCCAGAATTTGGGTTCAGAGGATATCCCAGAAATAATAATCGAAGAAGTCTCAAAGTCATTAAATCGAATGAAAAACAATAAAGCAGCTAGTGATGACCAAATCGATATTGAGGCAGTTAAAGCAGGAGGAAAGACAGTATTTAAAGCATTGACACAATTATATATACTTCATCTAATTTAGATAACGACTTACGTCATGATCTACGTCAGAGATCGAAGTTGACATAGTTGCCAAAGTATAAAAAAATCCTGACTCCATTTTAAATCAAATAGATCACATAATTATTGCAAAAGTATTACCATCGCTTTACAATGACTATTTAAATTCTTACGTGACATTTTTTGAAATAAAACACGGTAATTTTGTTCTAAAAGAACAAATTTTATTAAATAGGAAAAAATATAAAACAAGAGATATTCATTTTAAAATTCAAAATAAAGTACAAAAAGTGTCAACACCGCAACTGTCAAGTAAGTGTTACCAATTTATGCCAAAATTTTACCTTCGTTCGATTACAGTTACAGTGTGTTCCGAACAAATATTCTTGATAAAACGCTTTATAATGCATTTATACAAATTAAATGAAACATATTATTGTGTATTTCTTTAAGTTAACACTAATAGAAATTTTTAAATATCATTTCTACGCGTATATAATAAAATATGTCTAGTGCTGTAATGCCAGTGTACTCGGTAAAGTGATTTTTAAAAAAGAACACACCTACCGCATAAATATTTCGTGTTGGTATCATGTGACGTCACAAGCTATGACGCCTATGACGTGCATCGTTATATAAATTAGATGAAGTGTATGCCTTTCTAAAGAGGTTACATCATCTCAGTGGAATAAAGCTGTTATAGTAGTCATGCACAAAAAGGGAGATATAACAGAGCTAAAGAACTTAATAATCACCTTGCCGAGTACACTGGCATTACAGCCACTAGACATATTTTATTATATATGCGTAGAAATAATATTTATTGATTTCTATTAATGTTAAGTTATAGAAATACACAATAATTATGTTTCATTTAATTTGTATAAATGCATTATAAAGCGTTTTTATGAAGAACATTTGTTCGGAACACACTGTAACTGTAATCGAACGAAGATATTTTGACAAATTGGTAACACTTATTTGACAAAAAGAGAAATCATACGATTTCTACCTGGCGAAATCGAATTCAAATATAAGCCGCCATGCTCCCTAAAACTTGCGAAGCAAACAGCTTGATGAATGAATCGGCAAGGGAGTCTAAAAATTGCACTCCAAATGCCGTTCATCATGGCCTATATTCGTAGTGAACTATTTGACTTATTTGACAGTTGCGGTAAAGATCTATTACCAGTAAAACTACCTTTTATTTACAAAGCAAATTAGAAGTAGTCAAATAAGAAGTATGAATTTGAACACTGTATTCAATAAAAGATATATGTAATATATAAATTAAGGATCACTCGAAGAGTGGTGGGTTTTTCGGTCAAAAGGTGGAGAGAAAAAAGACAAAGAAGTTGGGGTTACCATCTCTTTTTTCTCTCCACCTTTTGACCGAAAAACCCACCACTCTTCGAGTCATCCTTAATTTATATTGGATTGACTGTCGTACTCCTTTTCTCGATGTAATATATAAATATATATTCAATCAAAAAAATCTGTCAACATTTTCTGCCTTATTTAAGTATTGTTCCTTTATGGGGACAATTATTAAATAACAAATACAACTAGTCTGCAACAGGCCGCTCGATTTGTCGCTTTATAGAAATTAGTTTGCACGCAAAAGGTGAATTGTCGGCTGATCATGGATTATATTTATAAAGTACTTATATTGTACTGGTTTTGTTGAAAACCAGATAAATTTAGAAGAAACTGATAATCAGATAATTATATCTATAAAAAATTAAGAATCATCAAGATTATTGTAAACTGAATCTTACATTTTCCTTAACCTGTTCCCGAATTAAGTTATTTTGTAAGTATTTTAACACTATTGGATGCTGATCAAAATGAGGGACATAAAATATACAAACATACGTTAAATAAAAACAATTTTAGAAACATTTTCACCCGTTTCTATCCATCGTTTCCTTAAGGCAACTATCATTAGTTGTAAAGTTCAACTATTCTGTTGAACTTTACATCTACATAGTACAAAATTTTTATATTGCGTTTGTGAAAAAACACTGGTAAGTTTTACAGGAAAATTAATGTTATTTAGAAACAACCAATACTCATATTTAGTAAAAAAGTAGTTCGAATGACGGAGGTTGTATTAAAGTCATACTTTTTGCGTTCTCGTTTGGGAACAATGTGTATTGACGTAACAATTGTCCTGATACAAAATATTCTTTGTTTAAACTACAATTGTGTAATAACGATATCTTCTCAATCGATTTATGGTAGAAAGTTAAAAACAATTAAATCTAAACTGCAAGAAATTCCTTCTGGAAGTACCAATTCTTCAGAGTCTTCATATGACTGTTCTCCCAATACTAAACATAAGCAAGCCAAAGAAACCGCTAAAATTGAAAAAAACTAAAAGTAATTTAAAAGATAAATATTATTAACTATTCAAATATATGAAACTGAGCTTATTTTTCTTTATTACATTGTTGATGTGTTGTTTCTCAATCGGGAATATTATATATTTTTCGTTTTTAAGTAGAGATTTAGAAAGAAATTGACTTGAATGGCGTCAATTTTGATCAGTATGGTCAAGTTTGATCAATGTGATTCAGCAAATCAAATCATCTCTTGTGGGCGTGGAAAGCTCACTGATTCGTGGCAGATCAGACTTGTATAACTGGTTGCATAAATATAATGTTCCCGTTATGTGAGATTCCTTCATTATGTATGTGATATTTTTATTATCAGTTCATTATAATGCGAATAATGAAGATATTTATCAATTTTTAAATGTTTTAGGCAAACAAAGGGGTTCTTCCTGATAACAAAACCCTTTCTGTAGAATTCGGCAAAATGAACGAGCTCAAAAAGTACATGAAACGAGTTATGCCGTTCGTCCAAGCTACTAGAGATAAAATTGAGCAACTAGGAGTGAAAGCTTTAGCCCTAACGCTGGAGTTTGACGAAGCTGCTGTGCTTAAGACCAACAGTGCATACCTAGCGTATACTTTGGATGTAAGTATCTAAAACATTCACTGTAGTATTGTAATCAATCATTTGTAAAGCAGTTACCGTCCTTTATGATATAATGTGGGTCGATAAATGATGAATCAAACAGGGCTTCATAGAGCACAAGTCATATTCTATTTAATACTACAAAAGTATTCTTTATTGATTTTTTTAATACTTCGACAATTAAGCTATTTAAATACTTTCTTTTTACAGCTCGAAGAAGTTATCATTAAGTATACTGATGACCCAGAAGCAACGGATAAGATGAAAGAGTGCTGCCCAGGCTCTCCGTTCGTACTGTTTTCTGCAAAACCAGGTATTAAATTAGAATTTATAAATCCTGTTCCACAGAATGGACTGTTTTCAAAAGTGTTGACTGTTAGTGACGGAGATACTTACGAAAAAGTTGTGCAAAGACTCGCCAAAGATAGTAAAGCTATGAAAAGTAAGTTTTTTTTCTATATATTTGGGGTATTTGTTCCTAAAGTTAATGGTTATGGTGGTGGTGAATCTAAATCTAGTGCATGTTCCATTAGATAACTCTAAAGTATTATTTGTTTACTAACGTCCTCTTGACTCAATTCGCGTTTATTAAATTTTTATCTTATAATCTTTTTATATATTATGTTATATTAATAAAGAAAATAACCCCTGGTTATTATCGTGTCTCTCGCGTTGTTCTGTACATCCTTTTACTCCTTCCTGCGGTTTTTGTATTCTAAGAATCTAGCACTCAATTTGTTTATTTAGTTATTTTATTTTTTTTTTAGAACCAGAATCTATTCAGCTATGGAGGTTTGAAGATCCAGTTCTAGGACCCACAAAAATACCAGCGTTCAATGAACCAACTAAGAATAAGATTCAAGTATCACCTGATAGTGTCTTCAAGATTGACGAATCGAAACTTAAACTGTTATTAGGAAAAGAAACTGTTGATGTAGGAAGCCAAATAACTTATTTAGTTGTATAACAATAAGATTATTTGTTTATTTATTTATAAAGTTTTAATAAATATTTAGTTTCCTAAGAGATGCCCTATTTTACTTACTCCTTTCGTTCAGTGTTAAATTTTCAGTGTATAATGTCTTCTGTAGATTGGCCGGATCACCATAAAATATCGCTTCCTTTTGTCGGCATTGGGTCGACCGGTGTCGAAATTTGGGTGAAACAATGTATCAGGCTGGAAAACTTCATAATACTATTCAAGAAATGACCATACTTGGAGTAGGTATAATGGTCATAAGCGAAATGAGGGGCCTTATTCTTGAATCGAGAGAAAATTTTACTCCCCACTAAGCTAACTCGCTGTTCTACTCCATCATAATTTTTCTCGATTTTAAAAAGCTGTATTCTTGAATACGGGAGTAGAAAGGAATGAGAGAAACTATGAACAGTTTGCCGGTTTTCAATGAAAATTTTAACCAATCACAAAAGTTAATTATTGACAAAGGACAAGATAGTGTCAACCTGATCACTCCCCCTTAGTGGTGGGCCAACTTGCGATTTTTGTGTAGCTGTGACAAAAATGTGACTGCTCCAGTATTGTCACGGTGACAAAAAGCAGTGATTTTTTTGGAGCAGTTTAATCTTAACTGCTACCCTGCTACTATTGCTACCTTTGAATATTCCAAAATATATTTTAAAATTTGTAAAAATTTTCTATCTGACAAAAGAAATGGGTCCGTTGGTTGGAGGACATCCCGTCCAATTTAAAGATCTTCAACTGCCTCCAAAACATCATTAAACATAATATAATTCCAGTAGAGCATATGATTGATATCCATCTTATATTAACTTCCGCTTTTTAAAAAACAAAATACTTCCTAGGTTTTTGAGAGGTTATGTATTGTTATTTTCGCTCCCATTTACAATTTCTCTTACCTACTGTCAGTAGAAATTGTTATTCCCTTAGGGAGTGACATTTCTCTCACACATTAGGAGAGTTTTTTTTCAAGAATACAGCATACAGTTCCCTAAAACCTACAAAGTAAGTTTTAGGGAGCCACGCCTACTTTGACGTCACTTTCTCTTGTAATTTCTACTCCCTGAAATTCAAGAATAAGGGCAGAGGTGGCCAAGTAATGATGCTTGTATTGTTGAAAACCATATAGTATACCACTCTGGAAATGATGACGGTCAGCATATGTATGGGCTTGCAATAATCGTATGTCCTCAATTACATCAATATGTTACAAATGTTATATCTGTTTCTAAAAGATAAATAATAATCCAACTGAATACTACTCCGGTCAAATTAAATGTTTTACAAGTGTATGCCCCAACCAGCGATAAATCAGCAGAAGAGGTAGAGTAATTTTATGAGTTGTAGATAAATCTACTTCACCACGACGTTTATATACTTTGGGTATCTCCGCAAGATCAACCAGGAAACATAAGGAATCTTATTTATTACATAATGGTGAACAAGAGATTCCGTAATGAATATTCCTGTTATTGGTAAATTTAGGTTTAGATTTAAAAAGGTTACAAAAACGAATAGTAACAAAACATGTGATATGAGAGGACTAAAAGATGAGGAATCGAAGGAGACAGTCGCATGGATCCTTTCAGAAAAGCTAACTAACATGGAGTAAACATAATATGATCCAGAAGAATCACTCCAGAATATATGTGAAACAAGATCAGAGAAGAACATCTAATAGAAAATAAAGAGAAGAGGAAAAGTTGGATGAATGACAATATACTACAACTCATCGAAGAAAGAAGAAAATCAAAGAATTTACAAAAATATTCAGAGACAAATAAGAACCAAAATACGAAAGGCCAAAGAAAATTGGTTAAAAACACAGTGTGAAGAGATAGAGTTGTAGGAACAAAAACACGATCCATTTAATATGCATAAAAAGGTAAAACAAGCAGTTTGTAAGATACAGGTTGCCATGATGGTCGACAACATCAGAAACAGATAAACACTACAAGAAGAAGAAGAGTGACCGAAAATCGATAAATATTTCTGGAAAAATGGTAAGCAGTATTTTAAGTACCAAGTTGTAGTGTACCTATGTGAATAGATCCTGGACCGGCGCAATACTGAATAGTAGGAAGCAGTTTTAATGGTTTGTATACTGTGGTGTATCAACCCGTTAGGCAGTCATATTATTTAAATTGACAAAAAATCCGCTAAGTGCAATGTTAAGGTTCAAAACTTAACTTCACAAGGCAAGCAGTACGAACTGTCTAAAAACTTGCGAAAATGACAACTTGGTCAGTCTCACGGATTCTGGGAGCGGTGCGCAGGTCTGGACGCTGATAGAGTTGCTCATAAAAAATCTAGAGGGAAAACTACACGATACGATAAATACCGCCAACTTTAATTTATTATCCAGACGAAAATATACAGTAGGCGAGAGCAGGAGAAGACACTCGTGGCTAAAGTCTGGAACTCTTCAGAAGTGCGTTAGCAAGATCAGAATTGCCCGATTAATAGCCAAGATTCGATGCTGATAGAGCACCTGAAGAAGTAGAAGTTCCCCCAAAGAAGTAGGTTGTTTATTAATACTTGTATAATTCGCTATACCTCCTCAACACGTCTACAACCAGACCTTTCTAAATAGCTGCAAGCAAAGTATATGTATAGCCTTGTTAATCGACAACATCTGGAACGGATAGGCACCTTGAGAAGAAGCAGATACCTTCTTTGTCTGATAATATTCTATATAATATGGAAAATAAATACACAGTAGCTTTTTTTAATAATATAATTCACAACTAATTAATAAAATGACTAGATTTTGTTTACAAAAGTTTGTATAGATAAGTAAATCACAACTATAAATAAATTATTCTAATTTAATAAGGAAAAAACATCATACACCTAAGCTAATCATACACGTAAGTTAATAATTCAACGGAGGCTTTGATGACTTTTACAAAGAGTACAATTAATATAAGAACAAGAATCAAATCATAAAGTTATTGAACAAAATAACCTCCTTCTAAGTTAAAGTTATGCTTTGCTTGGTTGAAAAACCAGATCAGTACATGTTCTGTTACATAATATTTTTCTCGAAAAATGTATTAGACTTTTGCGAATTTATTGTGGGGTTTAAGGTATGATGAAATTTTCTTCTTCTACGGCACTATAGCCTAAATTGAGCCTTGTTCTCCTTAATTTTTTGCCTCCACCCTTGCTTTTCTGTGGCTGATTGATCTTCTCCATACACGGACTCTTAAAACGGCTTGTGCGTCGTTGTTTAGGTACTGTGCCTTCCCAGCGCTTTTTTGGCTTTCCAACCGGTCTCTTTCCCTGCATTTTAGTATTCAGTGCTCTTTTTGGTAGCCTATTATCTGCCATTCTTATCACATGTCCAGTCCATTGCAATCTTTATATTCTAATGAAGTCTGACAGTGGTGCTTCCTTATAAAGTTATAGAGAATAAATAAGAGATATTGTTAAATTCCGTAAGTGTTGTAAGTAACAACTATTTCCGATAAAATGTAATTTATGTTTATAGCTTTGTTCAAATTGGATTTTTTCAATCTACTTGTATAAATTTCTGATACCTATTGTAAGTCTAAAATATATTTAAGAACCTTCAATATTGATATTAATTCTGCAGAGTAAACAGACATCTTGTTATTTAATCGAACTGTAGGTAATATAAATGTTGTCCAGCAAAGGTGACCAAACCGCAGAAACAACGCAATACATGGTTTTAAAGACATCTGTGAAAATTAATTACTATTTAACTGGGAATAAGCCACAATTAAAGATAAAAATACGTTTATTGACGTTTCAATTTCCACTTCGGAAATCGTTCTCAAAATACAAACAGTAAATTAAACAAATTTTGTTTTTTGTTACATAGTGAAAAATTCTTCTAATAATTTATTTTATCTGACTCATTTATATTGACAATTCAGACATACATTATGCATTTTAAAGTAGACGACTTTAAAATGATATTGCCAATATTGTTGAGTTGCGCTCCTGGGACGACTTTACTTATAAGATAGTTCATTCGATTACATGAAATCAACTTTAACTCGAGAATATCTGTCAGAAAAAATCATAGCATGTAATTCGTCTTTAAAAAGACAAACACATGACATGATGACAGTAAAATTCTCCTATTAGTGATTCCATAGTAAATTATGAGGGAAAAACCAGAAAAAAAAACCTCATAATACTATAACCGACATAAAATAAAACCGACATTATAAGTATTTGTTCGTGCATTTAGTTTACCTTCAATAAACACCAAAATTCTGATTTTATATGTTTCGTTATTTAAAAAACATAAATGATGTATCCTCTATATGTTACTGACTTACTAATACTGGTATTTTCTTATTAATAACTTCCTCTTTCAAATTTGGTAACCAGATCCTACTACATTCTGCCGAGGAATTTGCGACACAATTGGCCCCATTTAGCATAATTAGAGCCGCTTCTTTGATTTTTTTTTACCATCCGTTTCTTTTATGACTACATTTGAATTGTTCCATTGAACCCTAGTTCATTATCCCATGCGTCTTTACATATTTGAGATCTATCAAATTCTCTATTTTTAATATAAGATTGATGTTCACTTATTCTAACATTTAATGGCCTTGATGCTTCACCTAAATAAAACTGATCACATTCACAAGGTATTTTATAAATGCAATTCATTGTCCTTTCTTGTTCATTGTTAGGTTTGGTTTTGGACAAAATAGATCTCAACATGTTTGTTGTTTTGAATGTTGTTGAAATGTTGAATTTATTTCCTATCCTTTATAGTTTTTCTGATAATCCTTTTCTGACGAATATTCTCAAGTTAAAGTTGATTTCATGTAATCGAATGAACTATCTTATAAATAAAGTCGTACCAGGAGCGCAACTCAACAATATTTGCAAGATCATTTTAAAGTCGTCTACTTTAAAATGCATAATGTATGTCTGAATTGTCAATATAAATGAGTCAGATAAAATTAAATTATTACAAGAATTTTTCACTATGTAACAAA